TCTTTATGGATACCCCTGAGCCCAGGGAGACTCAGGGGTTATGTGGGGACTCTCCCTCCAGACTGGAGGGCCTACCCCACTAAAACCCCCCCGGGTTTCCCTCTCGCCGGGTGAGTCGGCGCCGTGGGATCGGTGAACATTCACCACGACGCCGCCCGGCCGCCCTAGCTTGCGCCAGGGCTCCCGCGCCAACGGAGGGGCGAGTCGGTTGTCCTCCGACCCGCCCCCTAGACGAGTGAGGCCGTGCAATGCAGGCTCCGGAGTCCCTGTCCAGAGCCCGCTGGCCTCACTAGGGGATCAGGCGAGCAGCGAACTGCCTGCGCCTTCTCCCCGTACGTCTGCGCCGAAGCGGGTGCGCGTCCGCCGCGTCCTCGCGCACCCGCTCCGCGGCCTCCTTTTGCGATATAACCTCTGCGCAAAAGGAGGCCACCGCCTCCCAGGACTCCTCGCTATCGAGCATGGCGGCAACCACGCTCGGCAGCGAGAGGTCCTGCCCTAAAGTCCCCGTCAGAGTGCGGCGCTGCTCATCCCACCGGCTGCACACCTCTAGGGTGTGCTGCGCGGTGTCATCCGCAGCGCCGCACTCGTGGCACGACGGGGACGGTTCTCTCCTCGCCACCTTGTGCAGGTAGTGACCGAAACACCCGTGTCCAGTCAGCACCTGCACAAGGTGGTACGACAGTGGCCCGTGGGACCGGTTTACCCACTCTACGAGGACAGGGCGGATCGGCCCTATGGTACGAGCGCCATAGGGGGGATCCGCCAAGCCCTCTTTCCACCGGTCCCGCATGCGCTGCGCCGCGAGGTGGCGCTCCCGCTCGACCTCCTGGGGAGCAGGGCGCTCGCCTCGGTCCCTCATTCCCCGCCGGTAGGCGTGGACATCCGCCAGGACCTCGGCTTCGAGGTCCCACGGCGGAGTACCGGCGAGGACGCATGCGGCAGCGCAGGCCACCGTCATGTACGCCCTGCACATTCGCAGGGATACCACCCACTCCAGATGGGAGCCCCGTACAAGGCCATACTCTGGGTCACCCCGGCGTATAGCCTCCTGCACGAGGCTCCCGGCCTCCCGAGGTTGGGCAGGAGACGGCCCATCGCCGATGCGGCGCCCACTATTCGGGGAGCGAGTTGCCGGAAATGCTCCCCGAAGTTCCATCGCCGGTCCAGGACAAGTCCCAGATATTTCATCTGGGACTTGACCGGGACCGATACTCCCGTGATGGAGATGTGGGCGCCTGCCGGCACCGCCCAACCTCTACCCCTCCCGCCGAAGACGGCCACATTCGTCTTCGGCACGGCGACCTCGAGCCCCAGCAGTTGTATTCGGCGGACCACCATATCCGCCGCTACTGAGGCTCTTCGGGCCGCCTCCTGGAAGGTGGTCCCCCGGACGGCCAGCAGCGTGTCATCGGCGTACGCGATGACCGCCGTCCGGGGGAGCAGCGCGCCCCTCAGCACCCAATCGTACCCCAGGTTCCACAGTAGTGGTCCTAATACGGACCCCTGGGGTACTCCGCACCTCATTGGGCGCTCGGCGCGCCTCCCTTCCCTCGTCTGGTAGAGCACCACCCTGTCTTCCAGGTAGTGCTCCACCAGACGGCTGAGGTACCTGGGGATGTTATGGTACCTCAGCGCCTCCCTGATAACGGCGAAGGGGAGAGTGCCGAAGGCGTTGGCTATGTCCAACGACACAGCCACCACGCCTTCCCCCTCGCCGTTACCCTCCTCCACGATGTGTCGCAGGGACTCCAGGGCGTCCAGGGTGGAGAGTCCAGCCCTGAACCCGAACTGCCGCTCCGACACATCGGGGCCTGTCCCCCTCAGGTGTTCGTTGATCCTGGAGGCGATGATTCGGCCCAGGATCTTCGCCACCTCGTCCAGCAGGACGAGGGGCCTGAACCCCGAGGGGGAGTCCGCAGGTCGGCCCGGCTTGGGCACCAGGACGAGCCTTCCCTCCTTCCAGCATCTCGGGAACAACCCCGTCCTCAAGCAGTCATCCATGAGATGCTTGAGGCGGGTCCCGAGATGCTTCAGGGCAATGCGAAGGACTCGTCCCGGTACCCCGTCCGGGCCCGGGGGCCTTCTTCCGCCCCCGCAGCCGTCCCACCGCCCACTCCAACTCCCCCTCGGTAATTTCCGGGGGGGGGTTCCTCAGTCTGCCTCCCGTCTGCTCTAGGGGGCACCATGGTCGGTGGGGTGAAGGGCTGCGGTTCGGGAAAGAGGCCCTCCACCACCCGGTTGAGGAGATCGAGCTCCAGTGACTCCATGGGAGATGCGCCGTACATTTTGTTGCGCACAACTTTGTACGGCCTCCCCCATGGGTCCGCGTCCAGGGTGGCCAAGAACTCCTCTTTCGCAGAGTCCTTGGCCCGCCCTATTGCGACCTTCAGGGCCTGTCTCGCGCCCTGAAGGGCGCTGTGGAGCCTTCTCTCCTCACTCCGGGTATGGCGCCTGCGACGGCATCGGCCGTAGGCCCGCTGGGCTGCTGTACTGGCGGTGCGGAGGTCCCCAATCTCCGCGGTCCACCAGTACACCCTCTTTTTGCCCGGGGTCCCTCTGACCCTGGGCATGGCCCTCTCGCAGACGGCGGTCAAGTCTTCCCTGCACTTGACCGCCCTCTGCTCCACGTCGACAGTGGCCGGTGGGGGGGGGGCACCACGCCTGGACCATGGCTGCTTCCTCTGCGAGCTCAAGGTCCAGGCGGGTGAGTGCCCATTTGGGAAAGCCCCCCCCGGGGGCCGTGTTGGAGGCCGTCGTGAGCGGCATATGGGAGACCCTCATCCGTATGTATTTGTGGTCGGAGAGGGTCTCCTCGTCCTCCAGGACCTGCCAGCCGGATACTCGCGCGGCTAGTGAGGGGGTCGCGAACGTGACGTCCACGATTGATCCCCCATTTCGTCGCACGCACGTGCTGGCATGACCCCGGTTGAGGACGACCAGCCCTAAGGCTGCCGCCCAATCCTCCAACTCTGGCCCCCTGGCATTGGTGACCGGGGAACCCCACGCAGCGCTCTTGGCGTTGAGGTCCCCCATCACCAACACCGGCGCCGGAGCTGCCCTCCTCACCGCCCTCTCTAGGGTCTCCAGGAAAGCCTGGAATTGGGCCAGGGAGCGATTAGGAGAGAAGTACACCCCAATTAGGATGACTTCTCCCCACCTTGCCGCCACGAACCCTGATCCGCGTTCCTTCACCGCTAGAGGGGGGAGTTCCCGGCAGTCGACGCCACTATGGCCACCGTCTCCTCCCGATCCCCCGAGGGGGGACAAAGTATGGCCAGAGCAGCCACCGCAACCCCCCACTCCGCCATGGCCTGGACCAATAAGTCCTGTGCCCTGGCGCAGTGGTTGAGGTTGCCCTGCAGTATAGTATGGTGGCGTGCTGGCATCACTGCTCCATACTTTGTCCCTCAATAGGGAGGGGGCCTGAGGTCCCCGCCGGCTTGCCCTTGGGGGGGGGGGGGGGGAGCGCAAGATCGCCCCCCCATTACGTGGTCCGCTGGACGGCAGGCCGCGGTGCAGACCGAACATCGCGGGGTCGCCGTGCACCCGGAGGCCGAGTGTCCCACCTGGCCACACCTGAAGCAGAGCCCGCTCCTGTCCACACTAGACGGGCAGAGGGCTCTGGTGTGGCCAATCCCCATGCACCTGAAGCAGCGCATGGGGAGGGGCTCCATCACATGGACCCCGGCGGAGGACCACCCCACCAACAGGCAGCCGGCAGCCGCCACCCGTTGGGCCGCCGTCACCGGGCAGCGAACGAGGGCTGACCCCCTCCCGTTGGGGGCCAGCCTGAGTGCGGGATGCCGAGGCTCTGCCCAAATCGATCGCAGCGGTCGCCGCCTCTAGGACCCCCTTGTAAGTGACCCCCTTTTCCGCCACCGCTTCGGGCCTCAGCGTGATCACCACCGCCGATGATTTCGGGGTGGCGAGAGCCCTGGGTCTGGGAGCCGTCTTGGGGGCCGCCTTGGCGGGGGCCCGTGCCGCTTGGATGGCGGCAGCTGCCGTTTTGGCCTTCCTGGCCTTGCGGCCGACTACCTGTGACCAGGGCGTTTCTGCCTGGTCAGTCGGCATGGAGGCCGCCATGTCAGGGCCGGCAGGGACGGCGGGAACAGCGAGTGGCGCCGCAGGAGGGGCAGCAGTAGCCTTCGGCGGGGGAGCCTTCCTCTTGGCCTTTTTATTGGGTCGCGGGTCAGTAGGCGCGTTTCGGGCCGGGGAGAGGCCCGGTATCGACTCGGGGCCCGCGGCGGAGGGAACCAACCTCGGGGCGGCTGCGGCGATGGCGGTGGCAGCAGGCGTCGCCTCGGAGGCGGGCGCACTACTTCGGCCGCCTAGGGGAGGCCTTAGGGACTCCGCGGGGAGGCGTCTTTCGATGTCCCCCAAGCGGGCGTCCATCATATTTCTCATGGAGGAGAAAATGTCCCGCCTGAGGTCATCGATGGCCTCCCTCACACCCGCGGCGGTGGGGCCACCTGCGCCTTGGCCTTGGCCGTGGCGGTGGAGTAGGCCCCCCTCAGGGCCTTGAACTCCGCCTCTAGGGCAGCGAGCTGCCTCCTCATCTGGCGGTTGTCCTCCGATATCCGCCGCGCCGCCTCCGTCGCCGTCTCTCCAAGATGGAGAGAGTCAATGGCTCTCTCCACCTTTTTGACGGCCTCTTTAATTGCTTTGATCACCGTCCCCTTGAGATTAGAGGACTTGGCGGTCTCCGCCAATATTGTCGCGAGGCCGTCTCGCGCCTCCTGGGCCTGAACCTCGCTCATGATGCCCGCCGTACCTTCGGGTTCAGCCTCCCCAGCCTTTCCTGGGCGCTTAAGAGCCTCCTTGAAGAAGGCGGCATCCGTCTCTTTCTGGAGGGCGTTCCACTCTGCTGAGCTGGAACGGCCTCTCCCTGCCGCCGCCGGACCGGGGTGGGTCTTCCCGGGGACCCTGGGCCTGCCCCTACGGGCCGTGCTGATCTTTGGTGCCCTTTCGGGCTCCTGAGGTTCGTTCGACGGGGGGGCGGCACGCTTGGCGGCCCTTGACGATCCCTTCTCTCCGGCTGACCCGGAGCGCGAAACCGCGCGTGAATTCCCCTCAGAGAGGGTGGGCTCTCCGTCTGAAGAGGCCGAGAGCATCGTCTCACCCTCAGACTCATTGTCGGAGAGAATCCTCACCTCCACATTGGAGGCCTTCGTGCGATCCAAATTGTGTGCAAAATCATTGTCCGTTCGAGTGCGATGTTCGTGTTTACGAGGGTCGACTTCTGGCCGACCCACGAGGCAGTTTTTGCCCCCCCCCAGAGTACGAGGGGCTGCCACCCGCCGAGGCGGATGGGCGGGATTCCCCCTTTCGGGGACCCGCCTGGGGACCATTTTCAAAACGTGCCTGTTCCATGTCGTGTGAGCTTTGAAAGGGGGTGAGCTCCCCACTGGGGCGCCCTAACGGCTGGATACCCTCCAGCCATTCATCCCATCGCCGGGCGCTAGAGCTTAGGATTGGGGTAATTTTTATAGAGGTTTTCTTCCTCGCAGCCCCCCTCTCAGTGAGGACGACCCCCGGTCCCGCTCCATGCGGGATTACGGGTTGGCCGGAGCCGATCTTAAGACCGAACACCGCCCACCGCCTCGGGTGCGAGTTAGATAGCGCCGGACAGAACCTGCGCTATCTTCCTCCCCTCCCAGTGCTGGTTTTGGTCCGCGCCGGCCGAAGCCGGTAACTCCCATATCTGGGAGTCGTTCCCCTATCCGCCACCTGGGGACGCGTCCGATGGCAGACCAGCAACTGCACACGGAGTCATTGCACACCTGTCTAAACAAAAACCAACTTTGCGTCTGTGACAATATTTAACCAAGCACAGCAGCAAAACAAGAAAAGTTACCTATTCACATTTATCCATATCGATAACCGACCACCTTCACCTGGAATGGACCTGTCGTCAAAAATGCAGCCATGAAGCTTGGCATCCTTTCCAGGGCGAGACGTTACTTCATGCAGGGACATTAGCTTCAGCTGTACCAAGTCCGGTCATGTATGGAATACTGCGACCACCTATGGGATGGCTCTGCTACATACCAACTGGTCACTTTAGATTCAACCGACAGACGTGTCAGGAGGCTTATAGGTGACACGGATTTAGTAGAGGTCAAGCTGCATAGTCTTGAACACCGTCGAAAAGTTGCCTGCTTATCGGTATTCTACACGATATATCGTAACGAAAAGTGTGCGACTTTCATAATTTAATTCTGCCATCCCCATTCCATCATCGTGGGACTAGACGCAGGCTGGGGTTGTGGATATTCCAAAGATTCATCGATTCAAAGATCGTACGAAAAGTTTCGATAGTGATTAAAATATGTTTTTTATGATAATAAATGATGGGACGAGTAAGCCGTGCGCCTGATGCTAAACGACACGCCTGTCCATAACAGTTGCAGTGCCACTCAGAGCTTTAAATCGCAAAGATCTGCGGTGCACTGCCTCTGCGCCCATCACCCTGACATAAGTTGACAAATCCCATGTGCCTGTAATTCCACTAGCACCCTTCAAAACCGGAACGCAGTAATGCTCACATTACTGCTTGGCGGCAGAAATAGGTAAAGTGGCAGCACTTCAAATATACAGTGTTACTATTAAACGTAATCTCATTGCACTATCCCTAAATCTGCTCAAAAGATGTCTGAGGATACAGTTGTAAGCAATGACGGTTCCGACAAACATAAAAAAATAGAGGATAAAAATAGAGATAGAGGCGAATTGAGAACTTTTTTGAAGTTTAGCGAAGTGTTTCACAGAGCCGCAGATAGTCTACTGCAGCCTCTCGCTAAAGGTCTAACCATAGCTATGAAATAATAAGTTGGTATATAAATAGTAAAATTATGTCCAGAGCATTGTAATTACATTCCATTACAGTCCATTACTACACTAGATGTTAATCCGTTTGGCACAACTCCTCATAACACGAAAATAATTGAAAACATCAAAGTCTCAAAAGATGATTCCTTCCGCTCGCAAGTCGAGTTTGGACAGAACTATAAGCAAAATAGGAAACGAATAGACCTGTTACGAAGTTCCAAACAACGTTTTCGCATCGCAATTTGTTTAAAAGAAAATGTGGAAAATCATATTTTAACCGTGCATGCTAATATGAACTTTTGTGTGCCAACATTAGAGCTTAAATTGGAAGGATATTAGCGGGCTATTTTCTGAAAGAGAAGCGAGTTTAGTACACATATACTCCCGTACATAGGAATGCCAGTCCTCATGTGTTTCAAGTGACAGATATCTTTGTGTGGATATGTCGTGTCACAAATTACATATTCGTTTTCCTAGTAACTCCCGGAAATATCAAGCTATAAGGCTTATTTTATTAATTATCTATGTGAAAAGCAATATTGTGAAGCGTCGTTAATGAGTTTGCGCGAACTTGTGATGAATTTCAAGCAGTAAGCTACTGGTAGTTTTTTAATATTAAAAAATATTTGCGTAAAAGTGAAAAGATACAGAGTCCAGGTCCAAACTTTCTTTGAAGTAATTCTCAACAAGTACTTAATACATTTTTCAGTTGATTACGATAAAAAAAAACACAAGCACACTGTCTATCAGTCCGCATCAGCGACAAAAAAGGTCAGGGCCCCGATTCAGAACTCTTCGATATTTTAACCGAATCGTTCGATAGGAATAACAACAGATATACACACATCACTCACTCTCTATTACGCGTACGCTTATGCATGGCTTAGCTATGGCGTTATCATGTGGGGAAATAGTACGGATGCCCATTCTCTATTTACCCTACAAAAGAAATTAATTCGTATAATTTTTAATTTACATAACACAGATAGCTGTAAATCATACTTTGCTGAACATAAAATTCTCACCCTACCATCTATCTATATTTTGGAAGCATGCAAATTTGTGAAGAAATATCCAGAATTCTACATAAAGCGAGGAGAGACTGCCCCTGGATACAATTTACGTCACTGTGACAAATTAGCACTACCTATCTCCCGTTTAAAATTATACCATTCTGGCCCACTAGTCATGTCAATCAAAATATACAACAAATTACCGAACTACATTAAATATTTAAACAAAGAAAAAGATTTTATAAAACAAATAAAAAACCTATTAGTCACAAAACAATATTATACTATACAGGAATACCTAAATGATAATATTTAAATTGTTTATATCTACATAAATAGATACCCAAACAAATACAAATAAATAAAAACATTATATTAACCTAATTAGTACATATTAATACTTAAATGCATGTTTACACGGATTATAAAATAATATACTACCGTACCTCAATAGTAATTACTGAATATTATAATTTAAAAAATTGTAATTTAAAAGAATGCCTCCCTCTCAATTGCTGTGCCCCACAGGGTCCATAAACGTTCTGTATTTATATTTTGTAACACCTTTTTATCTTTATGGAAAAGCAATAAAGTATTGAGTATTGGGTATTGAGTATAGGATATCGTTCTCGAATCGAAGGGCGCTGTCCGAGCTGTTCAGAACATTCGAGTTAAACGTTCGATTGGGGTTCGGATACTATATCGTTATCCAACAGCGTTTACGGAGTTAGTCGATGAAATAGATTATAATGAAAATCCTTTTATACACATTTTTGAGACTTTAAAGGCCTAAAATATTATTAATACAATATTCTTGCATTAAAATAAATCAATAAAATTGAACAAAATCCGAACTTTATTTAAAATATTTCCATTCTGATAATAAGATTTTCATATTACATTCTTGCTTTGTAAGCAATAGGACGCTCAATAACTTTAATTCGATAACTGTGATCCGAATAACGTTTGTAGCCTTTGCCGGTCGAGAAGTTCGAGTAATCGTACGGGTGTGACGTCATTTCGGTTCAGTTTCGAATACGTCAGTTTGACGTTCGATTCGGGTGTTGTGAATAAAAATGAAAAGAAATCGGACGATAACAAATCGAATCGGTCGACAACTGAGTTATCGTAAGGTTCTGAATCTATCCCCATGTTCTTGTTAATTCATAGTACAAGTTCAATGTCTATTATTGCTCAAATAAAAAATTCTACAAACTTTCACAGCAAAGGTTGACACGCAATGGTATATGTAAGCTAAGTTCAAAGAAATGTCTCATGGAAATTAAATTTATACTGGCGTTTTTATAAAATTTTATCGACTTCGGGAAAGAAGCTTTTTTCGGATCTAAATCGACTACATTTGTTTTTTCAAACATCCAACGTTTCGGGCCCTTTTATGACTGACTCGCTGACGGACTGACTGACTGCCTTGATCATGGGACCTGTAAAGGGCCCAAAATGTTGATTGATTTGAAAAAACAAATATACTCGATTTAGGTCCGAAAAAATAGGTTCATTTCCTATGTGTAACAACCACGAAAACCTCAGAACTCG